CCTTGGAACACAGCCAAACACATTCTCACCTTTGGGCCTTCACACTGGCTGCTCCCTCTGGAACACCTGCATGGGTAACCTCTCTCACCTGCTTTCGAGTCTCTGTTGAAATCTCATTCACCACCAAAGCTACGCAACCATATTTATCTTGTTCTACTTTCTCTTCCTTTCAGAGCACTGACCTCCTTCTAGCATGCTATATAATTTACTTATTTGGTTCATCATCTGTCTCCCACTCCCACCTCTCCATTCCCAAGAAGGGAAACTTAGCAAGGGCAGAGATCTTTGTTTTATTCATTGATATAGCCTCAGCACCTAGATCAGAGACTGACTCATGGAAGGTGCTCAGTAAGTAGTAGTGGAAAGAAAGAAAAGGAAGGAAGGAAGGGAGGAAGGGAGGAAAGGAGGGAGGGAGGAATTTTTCATCGTTTTTCTTTCCAGCCACCAAATTGTCTATGGGAATCAAACAGAAAACAGAAAGCTGGTACATACAAAGAGAATTATACCAACAGACCAGTATTAAAAGTACACAAGTTGAGAAAATGAATTAAAGTATGGATACAGAGGGCTTAGTTAAAAAGTCAATCTATGAAAGAAATAATAAAGACCACAGTTTTCCAAATGACTAGGCCCTCTTACCCAGTTAATTTCAACCCCACAATATATGTATCTATAGATATATGATTAGTGTTTGTGTAAACATATACACATACATATATATGTGTGCATACACAGAAACATATATGATGAACAAGTCCAGAAGCTAAGGTCATTTTTCTATCATATAGGTATTCATCATAGAACAGCTAATGACTTGGGTCATAGTTAAGACAGTCATAGTTCATAGTTTTCCTGGGAGAGTACCATTTATAGTTCCTGTTCTGGTGCTCCACCTAGTTAACATCCACTTTTACTCCCAAAAATACATAGTCCTTATTTGGACAAAGAATAAATTACATAGTCATCCTACACATTGGGTTGACCAAAAAGTCCTTAGTTTTTCCATAAAACAAAAGAAAATTTTCATTTTCACCAATAACTTTATTGATTTGGGTATTTTGAGTATGTCATCTATCTCCTGCTATTGGCTTCTAGTGGGTAGAGGCCAGGGGGGCTGCTAAACACCTTCCAATGCATAAGACAGCCCCACAGCAAAGAATTATTTGGCCAAAATGTCAATAGTACCAAGAAACTTCACCAACCACTTTTGACACATTTGACCAGTCACAGCGCCTTTTATTGTTTCAGTTGCATTTTTACCTTTCTTGAAATAATAAAGCATAATATGCCAAAAATGTTGCTTTTTTCCTCCCATCTTCAATATTAAAATGGGTACACAAATATTCACCAATTTCGATAAGTATTTTTAATGCACACTGATATGACAGTTGTCACAATACAATCTAACAAAATTGTTGCAAATGAAGTTCAAGACAACTAAGTACTACCAGAGCCATCATATGGAAAAAACTACACAAACATTTTGGCTGGCGCAATATAAAGGAAACATATAAATTTCTTCTAATTCAGGCATGCTGACAAAGCTTTCGACCAAATGGGCTTGGAAAAGGTGACAGCCACAGTTACTTGTAACACCAACTGGCCACCGCAGTTGAACTAGTAGAAACAGGTGATTCTTTACCAAAGGAGCACAGCAATTGTTGCAGAAATAGGTGCCATAAGCTTGGTATACCTAGCTTTGGAACCCCAACCTCCACCAGGTCACCTGCACAGTCTCAAGCCCCCATGAGGATTTTCGAATGCTGAGCAGGCTCAACAAGTTCTCTGCAAGCCCTCTGTGTGAAAAGCTGAGGCTCACACCCAAGGCTGGAGTCAGAAGAGAGGACAGAAAACAAAGCCTCCTCTATTATCCTTGTGGCCCAGAGAGCTTAGGAACTGGGAGAATGTGGAGTCATTACAACAATACTTGTGTTCTGAACTCTCAGTAAATATCCAAGAACTGGGCCCAACACTAGATATTGAAACTTAAGTTCTTATCTGCTGGCCACACGCACTCATCAGGTCTATAGATAGGTTTTGCTGAAACTGTTCTCCCGAGTCACACAAGTTGTCCCTATTTGTGTCAGCCCTAGGGAAATGGGCTGGTGTTAATGTGTATTGTTCTTGAAGACAATAGTAACATAGGCTTGGAGCCCTGCTAGACACTTAACAACATAAAGATATATTTTTTTATTTCCTATATGTAAAAATAGGTGACAAGCACTCAATTACCTTATTATTCTATCTTCCTTGTCATTTTTTTCTATTTGCATATTGTTTTACCTTTCTTATCTTGGCATTTAACAATAAAAGACTGAAATAAAGCTAGACTCAAAACATGAGGTCAGGAGAGGGTGATAAAGTAAATAGTTAGGGTTCCTTCACATGTAAGATGACTTTATAATTTATCATCCAAAGGAAATGTATTTCATAATTTGACAAGACAGGTCAACAGAAATAAACTGGGACTTCTACAGGCCAACCAGGAGGTCTGGTCACCCTTCTAATCCCTCCTTCATATCCCCATACAAAAGGCATCCTGAGTGTAAAGAAGCAGCCTCTGCCCCTGTTGGGTCAACCAAAATTCGAATACAGTCCTTCCTCTTTCATGCCAGGCCTGTATTTCCACATTGGAGCTGGAAATTTCCCTATCCAACACACCATGCAAAACTGGTTCCATTTTTACCCAAGAAAGCAGGCAGTAACAAGTTAGAATATGGATCCAGGCCAAGTCCACAGCTGGCCCCAGGCCTGCAGCCTCAGGTTCCTCTTAAAGAAACACTTTGCAAGGGAGGCAGCAACCTGGGAAGAGGGTACACAAGCACCAGCCACAGATTCAGCAAGTATCTTGAATGTGAAATCCTTTTACTGATGCCAGAGCACACACTGAAACTGGACAGAGCCCAAAAGCCACCTCTCCTGCAAAACACAACCGGCCAGAAGAAAGGCTATAGCATCTGTCCTCAGCTACAGGTAACAACCTTAGCTTCTCTGCCTTTTGCTGAGATCAGCGGTGCAAAAGGCTTTAAAAGAGTAAGAAAATATGTTTTTCTCCCAAGATCACATTGCCCAAGTTAAACAAAGCCAATGCTTACTTACTTTTATTCCATATTTTCAGTTCAGAAGGTTCCAACATTGCTCAGGCTCTTTATTAAATTTAGTCCTGTGACCGGTGAATATTAATTTACTGGAATCTTTTCCCTCACAATGGGAAAGGAAAGACCAATTTTGTAATCTAGTTGCAATCTGCAGTACATAAACAATCTACCCTGGTGGTAGGAGCAGAAAAGCTCCAGCTGGCTTATCTCAAATGTTCCAAACGACTTTGATTTCTTCAGAGACTCCACAGTCATTCATAAAGATTCATTGCCAAAGGCTGCTCCACGCTGTGCTGGAGGCAGTAGCTGGGGGGAGGGGAGAATGCTGGGAGTTGGGGAACCACCTGTCATGGAGCTGGCGGAAGAAACTCCTTTTAAATTAATGCAGCTGCATTAAGCCCTTTCAGTTGGGAGAAACTGAGTCCAAGGAGCCATTTATTGAAATGAACAAGAGCTATGAAAGTTATGGCTGTTTTCCCCCCATAAGTGGTACGATAATATTACATTCAAAGACATTTTTGTTAATGTAACAGTTTAAACTGCTTCACCTACTCACCAATGAGACCAAAATGTGCCAAAGAAATAATCAAAACAAATAGGTTAATTTTTAAATGTACAAAGAAAGAAGAAATTAACTAGTTGGACTGCTGGATGGTAAGGTTATAATGTTTCCTTTGACAGATTAAAGTTATGTTTTCCCCACGCTCTACCCCACCCTGCTCCACCTCCCATCAGTGAAGTGGATAATTTCTGAACAACACAATGACCCTTTATTCCGGGCTTCTCTTGTCTGCTAGGGATGCCATCTGTCTCCCACACTATATAAACAATCCCTGCAGGAATCTTCTGATGACCAAACAGATTAGCAGCCTCCAGATTTTCACACTATTAATAATATCCCCATCCCAATTAGGCCTCTTGCTTCAATAACTCCAAAGGTAAGCCTAATAATCGATCCTCCTTTGTTTGTAAGTAATGTGTCGTTTTAAAGATATTCTCTCAGAACACACGGCCTTCTAACAGGGGGGGGGGGGGTAGCTCTCTCTAGGCAACGAAGAAATGAGCCCTTGGGGGAATAGGAGAAATAGTAAAAAGGAAATCATTCTTGTAAGACAAACAAAAACGCATGGAATTTCACCAGGTCTACTGGAGGACTCTACCAATTTTGTTAAAATCTTTCCCTAAATGATCAAGTATAGAAAACTACTCAAGAAAAGACAAGCTTCACACTTTACCAAAGGTCTAAGTAAAACAAGCATTCCAAGTTTGCTTGACTCTAGGGCTGTGAAAGGAGAAACACCCCCGAAAGCCTCAAGACTCCCGGGAGGTTTGCCTACCGTCCGCCTCTATCTAGGACGGTCACGGATGCTTGCCGTCTCCAAGTTTAAGATCTATTGATCCCTTGTAACTCTGTGAGCTCTTTGCATTGCCTCCAAAGGCTTTCAACTCAAAAGGAAATAAACGTGCCTGTACAGATGTCCCTAAAGCTAATAATAATTATCAAGGAAAACCCACTTGAACACAGCTAACAGAAAAAGATAAGGCGCGGAAGAGCCAGCCCTCTGCAGTTGCACCTCCTCGTAGATGTCTACGTCTAAATCCGCAGTCCCAGTTTCCTCCAGGCCCCAAGCCCCAGCGGAGGATGTTCACAACACATCCCAAGTCAAAAAGGAAATGAAGCCTCCGCTCCCGCAAGTGATGCTCAAATGACCCAAAAGTGCCCGCTCCGCGGGATAACCAAACCAGGAGACACGTCCCAGTGTCTCTCGCCCGCGTTTTAGGGCAGCGGAAGTCCAAATGTGAAATGAATGACCGCGTTAGAGCGCAAATGAGGAAAAACAAAGCCACCTCCCGCTGTCCGGTACCTGCAGCGCAAGGGCCCGGCGCCGGCCACGCACTCACCCGGGCTCTGCAAACAGGGACGGGGCCGCGGGGCGCGAGGGTGCCCCCGCTGTCCACCGGACCCGCAGCCCCTGTGCCCTGCGGCTCCTCCACTCGCGCCGTGGGGAAAGCAGGCGGCCAGGGGTGCCGCTGCGCGTTGCCTGCAGCTCCCGGTTGCGGCGGCAGCCGTTGCCAGAGGGCCAAGGGACCGTGCGCTGCGGTCCCAACCCCGCGACCCGAAGCAGCAGCGAGAGAGACGCGGCGCAAGAACCGAGCGCGACCGGTGCGCCCCTCAGCGGCTCTTCCCGCCGCCCTCCGCTGCGGGGTGAGTCTGCGCTCGCCTTTGTGCTGGCATCTTCCTTGGCTCCCCACAGCACCCGCGCGCTTCGGGCCGCTCCGCGCCGCCGCCCACCCCCGGGTTACGCCGCGCCCCCCGCGCGATCCGCTGATTGTGCCGACTCAGCGGCGGCGGCGGCCGCGGCGGCGGCGGGGACGCGCGAAGCCACGTCTCCCGCCTGCTCTCGGGACAGCGCTGGAGGTTGGGGGCCCCGGCGCCGCGAGGTTCACAGCGGAGCTCGGCGGCCCGGCGCGGCGCGTCCCCGAGCGGCCCGCAGCGCCCGGCTCGCCGCCGCGGGCTCTCCAGGCGTCTCCCAGGAGCAGTGCGCCGCCCGCCTGCGTCTCCCTCTCTCGCGGCTCCCTGCGGGCTCGTCCGGCCTCCCTCCCTCCACCACCTTCCTCCAGCCCGGACCGGACGCCCGCCCCAAGCCCTGCGCCTCCACCCTCGGAGGACGAAGGGTCCGGCCCGCTCACCTCCGCCAGCGCTGGCGCCCCTCCCGCTAGACGCCTTGGCTGCATCGGCCTGCACCTCCCAGCGCGGCGCTGGGCTGGGGGCCTCCTGCCCGTTGGGGACGAGGGAAGGGTGGCAGGAAGAGGACGGGAGAAACAGCCAGACCTTGGCCAGCTGGACCTTCCTGAGGAAGGTGGGGGAAAGCGGGGCGGAGGACGAATCCTGAGGCAGCAGAGGGTCGGAGCTGCTCTCTTGCGATGCCGAAGGACCGAAGGATTCTGAGAGGCGCGGTGGAGAAGGAAGGAGACCCTTCGAGGCCGTGCACCCAGCGCTCTTCCTAAATCGACCGAAGAGCCGAATGGAGGGGTGCCATGCCTCGATTTCCCCAACTACAAGGGCAAGACGGTAATACTCTTGTCACCTACGCGGGGTGTGGTCACGATTAAAAATGGATTATTGGAAGCGCTTTTAACTACTTTGCCTAAAGAGGGCACTAAAATTCAAAATGTTACTATATTAATACTTAAAGGTTCCTATTTGCTTCTGTAGCATCTCCACTGACTCAGTCCAACTTAAGGGAGAGAGTAAAAACGCTGAAATGTAAGGATATTGCCCCCTACGAGTCATATCAGTTCAAATAAGGGAAACAGTTTAACAGCAATAGCCATATGGAGGAAGCCCAAAAACATTTTCCCAAAAAACAAAATAGTGCATAACCGTAATTTAAAGATTTTTTAATATGTGTTCTCAGTCTTCATTTCCTCCCTCTTCTTTGGTAACAGGGATTCATTTCCCAAACTACCCTTCCTCTCGCCGCCTACGTGTCTTTGTGGTTCCAGGATACTGACACCTCCCAGGCTCACACCTAAGAACTGGCCAGTCATGGTATTTCAGACCATATTGATTGGATCTGAGATGGGAATATTGGTCCAGGAATTAAATCTGTAGCTTTGCTGAATCAGTTCAGAAAAAGAAGCCTTTTAAACTAGGATAACTAATTTGGAAGGATATGAGCCAGTGATAGCAATTCCCCCCAATGCATGCGAATGAAGCCAACTTAAAGGGAAGGAAAGCTGAGGGAGAGAGGATGATGTCTTTTGAGTCTTAGGAGGCAAATATGACTGAATTGACCTCTACCCCTGAAGCCAGTCAATGCTGCCTGCTCTTTATCTACTCAGGTCAGTTGAGCTGTGTTCTGTCAGGTATAACAAAAAGACCTGACTCATTCATTCTCCTGAAATTATCCATCCCAGATATCATTGGCAAAGCTACTGATGAACCCCACACACCCACCACAAAAAAAGTCCTGTACAAACATAATGTTCTCTTTCTACAACTTGCTCTAAGCCCAGCAACCTGCCCCTGCAGCCCTTAACCTTCTGTATTAAGTTACCACTGTATTACAATCAAGACTTAAACAAAAAACTTAAAAATAAATAGGGTTACAATGGATCATTATTGCTGCCTTTTAGTTTAAAAAATATTTAACTTTAAAAGCAGTTTCATCTATCTTAAAAACTATATATATATATAGTTTTATATATAGTTTATATATATATATATATTCATGCTTGATATGTATACCAGGCTAAGATGTCCAGTAGTAAAGTCATCCTAAAATCTCAGACTTGCGAACGTGTTAGTTAAGCACTATCATACTGTACTCCCCATCCCCCATCACCAGACTACCTAAGTTGGGTCTCCCCCTCCTAGGACCCATGACCAGTTCTCAACTATTCTCTTCTTGACCCATTCCCATAAAGAAATCTCAATATTTTACAAGATGGTCAATTCTATTGATACATTGAAACTGACCAAACATTGGAAAGTGATTATTTATATTGTATCAAACTACATCTTTCAATGCATAGAACTCCAAGTACTAAAGACAGATATGAGAACCACTTACATTGCTTCTTCCAAGATCTTTTCACTAACTGCTTATCATATGATAGAGGGTCCTGAGCCTTCACCATCCTGGGCTGCTGTCTGTCTATGAATGTGCTCAAATTCATGAACATTCCTCCTGAAGCATAGTGTCCCAACCACAGATTCCAAGACACCACAAGTCCCTTCGACACCACAGGAGTGGTCCTAGAAAGGTGTCCACATGGTGTTATATTCTGTAAAGTCTCAAAAGTCAAATATTTTCATCTCAATAAACAGCTGTCTCTTTTCACTTTAACTTTCCTTCTGTCATAATTTTCCTTGTATCTGGAAGCATTACAAAGGTTATAAAACATCTTGGGGACCTGGCTAAGGGGGAGTTGAGTTAGTAAACTGGAACAAATTTATGTGGTTCATGGACATTACAGTCCACGGTAACAGTGACATCACTGTAGCTGCTTGAAGGCCTACTGTCAACTGGGCTATTTGGTATTGTGACACCATATCAGCAAGTGAATGCTTATATTGAAGACCTGGCACAGAAGTATGTAGGAGGTAGGTGATTTTTGAAATGTAAGAATGCAGAACTGGAAAATCATCCCACGTGTTATTCTTTATACGTGAAAGAAATTTGGTAGAGATTTTCTCAAATTTGACAACAGTCTTAAAAAGGTATGTGATTCTCCCAATATTGAATTGTGGACTACAAAGAATCTCCTCTAAACCATCAATCATAAAAATAAATTTCAATTAATTCTACTAGTGAAAAGACTGAAACACCTATTAACACTATAGAACAATATGCGACAAAATGGTTTTCCTATAATGAAGAAATCAAAACACTGTGAAGCCAAAACACAGAGCAGGCCAAAAGTAGGTTTACAGTTGTATGTGAAAGACAGTTTATTCTTGTATTATTATTTACTAATTATTATATTCTTTTCCATATAACAACTGTAAAACTACTTTTGCCCCACCCTGTATAGGAAAAAGTATTATAAAGCTATATTAGTCAATTATAATAAATAAATAATAAATGATTAATAAAATGTTTTAAATCATGGTATTTGATGATATCTGATACTTGTGCACTTTTATTTGTAATTTTCCTTAAATTATGATTTTTACATTTTAAATAAAAATTGTTTTGTATCTCCTTTGTATTTGTGTATTCTTTTCTGAAAGAAGGCTCTGAAAAAAACAGAGATCAGATTTGCGGTTACCAAAAGTGGGGAGTGAGGGCTGCCCGTGGTGGAATTGGAGGACAGTGGTCAAAAGGTACAAACCCCCAGTTATAAGACCAGTGAGCACGAGGGATGACTGTAGTTACACTGCTATGCAATATATATGAAAGTTATTGAGGGTAGATCCTAAGGGTTCTCATCACAAGAAGAAATGTTTTTTTCTTTTTATTGTATTTCCATGAGATAATTGATGTTAACTAAAACTATTATGGTAATCGTTTCACAATATATGTAAATTAAACCATCCTGTTCTACTTCTTTACATTTATACAGTGATATATGCCAATTATTGCTCAATAAAACTGAAACAAAAATATCTAATGGTACATGAGTCAGGGTAGGAGCTAGAGCCCAGGCAGCTGAGATTTAAAAAAAAGAGAAGAGAAAGGAAAAAAGGAAAGGAAAGAAAAAAGACAAAGAAGGAAGCTCGGACTAGTGCAGTCTTCAGACTCCCCAGTATGTGGCTCTGTCCCCTACTGTATTTATTTCGGTGTCCGTCATTGTAAATTGGCTTCATAGGAGGCATACACCTTTCCCTTTTGAAACTTAAGTTGCTAAGGCACTGCATCTGAACACACTAAAGATGACTACACACTCCCGAAGGTCTTGAATTTAAAAATGGAAAAAAATGACTAGATTGTCTTCCTTAAGGAGAAAATTAAGTGTTTTTTTAAATACAAGAATGTATTTGTCTTCTATTTTTGCATGACAAATTACCACAAATTTAGTGGCTTAAAACAATACATTCTCTTACAGTTTCTATGGGTCAAAAATGTGTCTACAACTTAACTGGGACCTTTGTTCAGGGTCTTACAAAGTTGCAATCAAGTTGTCTACTGACTGTCATTTACATGTGAAGGCCTGGCTGGGGGAAATTGAGGCTCTCAGTAGTTGGCAGAATGCACTTCCTTGTCACTCTAGAACTAATGGCATCTTGTTTCTTGAAAGCTAGCAGAATAATCTATATTTTCAGTCTTCTAAAAGAAGCTGTGTACTACACAACATTAGAGTAGGCAATAATTTTTTACATATGACACCAAAGACACCACTAACAAAAAAAAGGACAAATTTGACTTCATGAAATTAAAAAGTTTTGTGCTTTAAAAAAACCCTATTAAATAAAGTAAATAAGGCAACCTGCAGCATGGGATAAAAATATTTCAAATAATAAATATGATAAGGGATCAATATC